AAAATTAAATCGATCCAGAGATATCCGATTCCCAAAGATGCTAATGAGACAAAGCGGTTTGTGGCATTTGCCAACTATTACAGGAAATTCATAAGAGATTTTGCTAAAATAGTAAATCCATTAAACAGACTAACTAGAAAAAATAGTGACTTTCAATGGTCGGAGGAGTGTCAGCAATCATTTGAGACACTAAAAAGTGCTCTTTCCACTCCTCCCGTGCTACAATATCCTGATCTGTCAGAAAATAATCGGTTTATTTTAAGAACGGATGCGTCAGGATTTGCTTTAGGAGCAGTTCTGTCAAATTCTAATGACAGGCCTGTGGCATATGCCAGTAGGTCACTTAACAAAGCAGAATTGAATTACTGCACTATCGAAAAGGAACTACTTGCGATAGTTTGGGCAGTAAAGCACTTCAGGAGTTACTTATTTGGTAGAAAATTTGACATTTTCACAGATCACAGACCTCTTGTCTATCTATTTGGGATGACGAATCCGTCAAGTCGTTTAACTAAATTCAGGTTAACGTTGGAAGAATATGATTTCACAATATCTTACATAAGAGGATCAGAAAACGTATCAGCAGATGCTTTGTCCCGTATTCAAATTGACGCGAACGAACTCAAAGCAATGGGTGAAAAAATTGAAAATATGTTTGTCACAACTAGGGCACAATCGATGCGAACTAAAAATAGTCAAAATAGCAATGATTTGGCTCACAGCAGGCTTGATCACCCTGGTGTAGTAGAATTATTGAAGAGACCATTTGGAACAGTAGAACTGAGACCAGTTTACGAAGATAAATTTGACAGAATAGTTGTTAAGAACGTGCAGGATGAGAAAGTTGTATGTTGCAATGTAAAATATAATATTGATGCTGGAATTATTTATTTAAAACAGAACTCCCGATCAGCGTCTGCCTTCGGAGCGTCGTTGAGGGATCTGAAAAATATTTGCGAGAAATATAATGTTACAGAACTATGCATAGTAAGAAAAGAAAACTGTACAGTATTGTTAGAAAGTATTAAAAGAAATATAGACGAATTTAAAAAGGCAAATATAAAATTTTCTGTCATAAAAGGTGTTCAAGTCATAGATGACAAGGAAATGAGACAGCTCATATTAAATGATTTTCATATGTTACCCACAGGAGGTCATGCGGGAATAACGCGAATGTATAATAATATAAGGAAATATTATTTCTGGTCAGGCATAAAAAATGATGTTGAAAGGTTCGTGATGCATTGTGATGACTGTCAAAGATATAAACATTCGAAGCCAAATAAAGAACCATTGACAGTCACCACTACAGCTAAGAGTGCTTTTAACAAAGTTTATCTCGATCTGGTAGGTCCTCTGAACCAAGACAACGACAATAATCGTTATATTCTCACATTACAGTGCGAGCTCAGTAAATTTGTTGAGGGATATCCAATAGCAAATAAAGAGGCTGTAACGGTGGCAAAAGCATTTGTCGAAAATTTCATTCTTAGGTTTGGATGCCCTATGGAGATAGTAACGGATCAAGGAACAGAATTTTTAGCGGCTACCCTACAGCAAACTTGTAAACTCTTAGGAATTACATCATTAAAGTCAACAGCGTATCATCATGAAACATTAGGGGCTATCGAAAATACACACAAACATCTAGGGGCATATTTACGCATACAAGTTGCAAATAATCCAGATACGTGGAGTACATGGGTACCTTTTTGGTGTTTTTCATTCAACAACACGGTTCATACAGAGACTCAATACACGCCCTACGAACTTGTTTTTGGAAAATGCTGTTTGATACCATCAAATTTGAATAACAGAATAGACCCAATGTATAACTTTGATGATTATCCAATAGAATTGAGGTATAGATTACAAAAAGCATGGGAAGATGCTAGAAATAACTTGATAGAATCGAAAGTTAAACGGAAATCCACATGGGATAGGAAAATTCAGTCAGAGGTAAATTATAAGCAAGGTGATAATATTTTATTAAAAAATAATCCGTCTAACAAATTGGAACCTTTATTTAAAGGACCTTATGAAGTTGTAGAAGAAAAAGGTCCTAATGTTATTATAAAAATTGATAATAAGCCTCAACTAGTTCATAAAAATAGAGTTAAGCCATATTATGACATGTCTTAGTTTAGTTAGCTTAAGTAGCATTGTAAATATAGGTATATTGTAGAAAAAAAAAATATATCATTAAGATAAGTTTTTTTTTCTCCTTCTCGGGGGAGGTGTAGTATGTAAGATAATATAGGGTGATATTATAATGTAGGAATACTCTGTATAATAGGTTAAGCGAGGACAACGCACCGTGTGGGTTGTTAACACTGTTGTTATCAAGACGCACGGTGTATTCATGATATTAGGTTGTTTAGGTTTAGGGTACGTTCCTATGATTTATATATATATACCTGGTACCACCAATAAAGAGAAGATTGATTCTAACTTGACTTTGAGTTGATTACTAGAATGTCTGTCACCATACATTCACAACCCAGTTATTAACCCTGGAATAGGAATGATCATTCATCCTATTACAAGGGCCAGGAACATCATAGTTCGATGTCTGGCAGATAACATTCTAGAGATGGTCAAAGATAAGAAGACGGCTAAGGATATGTTAGACACGTTGAGCTCTACATATCAGAGAACGGGGATGTCAACGAAAATCCAACTGCAAAAGAAACTTAGAACTCTGCAGTTCTCAGAAGATAATTCGTTGAAAGAGTATTTCATGGAAACTAAGAAAACAGTGGCTGATCTAAGAAATACAGGTGGCAAGTTGGATGAAGTAGAAGTAGTGACACAACTTCTCTCAGGTATGCCTTGACAAATAATAGTCAGTTGTGACAACCATAGATGTGCTATTCAGCCAAGATCAAGAACAAATCTCAATAGAGATTTTGTTAAACATAAACTTTTGAAAGGAGAGCAGCGCCTGAAGAAAAATGGAGAGTCTGTGAAAATGAATGAATGATATGAACTTTTGTTGGACATAGAAGAACAAGAAAGCGGTTTCCAGTTCATAGTAATAATGAAGAACAGGGACAGGCTAGTTCGAGTTCTGGTTTTAGAGGTAAATGTTTCCATTGTGGAAATAAAGGTCACACACGAAAAACATGTCCACAAAGAAAAGGAGTCAACACTCGAGTGAACATTGCAACTGAAGAAGAAGAAATTTCTTTCATGTGTGAAATTGATGATACACTTGAAAAAGAGAAGAAATCTGGCCTGGGCCCTAACATTATTCTTTTGGTACATGTGTGTAAGCAACACATCCAAAAATTCGGATCTTTCCTAAGTCTGGTTTTGGTCCATACCATAATTCTGCAGGGGTTTTATGACTTTGTATGGTACTTTTTGGGGTTCTATTTGTTAAGTACTCTGCTACAAGGACTGCATCTCCCCAAAAAAATTGATGCATATGTGAATCAAAGATCATACAGCGTTCATCATTTATCAAGTACTGTCCTATTATATCTCTCAGCTACACCATTTGAAGAGCATTCATTTCTTGCTATGGTGAATTTTAATTCAATTTCTTTTTGTTTACAAAAGTTCTGGAATTCATGGGACACATATTCACCACCATTATCACACCTTAGTTTATGTATGTTGTTTTCGACAAATTTGGTTTCAGGCATAGCTACATATTCTCTGAATTTTTGTGTTACTTCTCTCTTGTTTTTTATCAAATATATAACTGAAAAATGACTGAAATGGCCGATAAATGTAACAAAATATAGACCATCCCTCTGTGTAGGATTAATAATACCACACACATCAGATAATATAATTTCAAGTAGCTTTGTTGCCTTTTTCTCTTGTGGAATCTCTTTTAAGACTGCTTTTCGTGACTGCTTGCCTTTCAAACAAATTTGACACACTTCATCAATGGGGTACTTAAATGAGTGACCCATTCGTCAGTGCCATAGTTCACTGTTCTCAATTAATGCATTTGCTTCATGTTGTTTCAGTCCATGTACAATGTTCCACAACGTTGGCCTTTCAAAATACATTTATTGCCTTTGAAAATGTGTTCTTCTCCATTTTCAAAAATAACTTTCAATCCTTTTTCTTCCACTAAAATTATGTACACCTGCCAAATTTCAAACTGAAGTGGGTCAAATCACGTTCGAAGATTCCGTTACAAACATACATATCAAGCTAATATAAGCGTGTTAAAAAACAATAGGTACCCTGTCAAATCAATTCAGAATAAAAGAATATAAGAAAAGACTTAGGGGTATTAAATACAAGCTTTGATGCAAATGTCTTAAAAAGGAAAAAATAATTTGTTTCATGTTTGATCTAGGCTGTGAGTAACAGATTCAAAATCTCAACGCACAAGATTTCCTATTTTGTATCCGCGGCAAGATTTTGAATTTGTTACTCACAGAATGCCCTAGATCAAACATGAGACATTATTTATTCCTTTTTAGTGCATTTGTATAAAAGTTTGGCTTTAAAAAGTTTTATTTTTCATTTTCAACTTTATGAATTTTTATGAATTGTGAAAATTGAATTGAATCGGATTATAATTACAAACCTCGTCCACCATATCTCAGAGCCGCCATCTTGAATTTTCCGATTTGAACAGAAGAATCATAATTGTCGACCCCAAGAACCCTCAGATACCAATTTTGAATAGAACCGGATCATAATTATAACAAACCTCGTCCACCATTTTGGAGCCGCCATTCTGTTTTTTGTCTAACAAAAGTTTCATGATGCATTGTCACCAGAATTATGCACATCTGCCAAATTTCAAATCAATGGGACAATTAGAAGTGTATCATATTTAACTTGCAAGATCTGATTACAGACAGACAGACAGACAACGGAACAGGGGAAACTAAATAAAAGCTCCTGAAATAGCTTTGATTATTTCGTGGTCAATCAGGTAGAGTTTGCTAACTTGATATATAGTTTTTAGTTATGTTACCTTATCTAACCCAGAGTTAAGGAAATTAATAAAAATGTATCATCTTTACCTGAAAACAAATGTATGTTCTTGTTCTCTACCTTGATCGTCGTCTTCGACCACTACCAACGTCAACTTCTTCTTTTTGAAGTTCAGTTTGCCTATTTTTGGCCAAAAGAATAAACCAATTTTTTGATTAGGTTCCTCAAACACCAATATACCTGTTGGAGTGAGACCTAACCTATATTCCATGCTATCCTTACCCTGGAAATAAAATAGCTGTGTGAGTAAAGACATAAAGGATGACACGTGACAGACACATGTAATTGAAATTTGAATAAAACATAACAAAATGATTTGCAAATCTCTGGTAGAAGTCCATGTTTGCTCAAAGTGGAGTGGAATTTTTAAAGGAGGAAGGAAAGCTCAAAGTCATCTCCACAACTTTAATATGAAGTGTTTATTCAACGGGACATGTTTCGAACTTATAAAAGTCCATCTTCAGCCGTATTTAAGAAATTACTAAAAGTAAAGACATGTGAAAATATACAAAATGTTATAAAAATTGTTTTTTTTTGACTTACATGGAGGTGAAACATTGTTTGTTTTAACAATGATGTCGATGTCTCTCATCATAATGTCATTGATGAAGAATAAATAATTTGAGGAATAAACGGGTTTTCATTAAAAATGAAGGGCCCCGTGCCCTGAGAACGCGCACTTAGAAACAAATCACAAGTCAAGTCCCAGAAGGGAAACTTGACGAACACACAAGGTGCTCAAATTAACCATATTGGTGTATGACAGGAAAAGGGTCCCGTACCCTTAAGAGAGCGCACTTAAAAATCAAAAATCAATTTAGAATTGATGGGGCCAAAAGCCAAAAACGTGTTACATCCAACCTAAGGTTAGAAAAACAGAATTAATTGCAAGAACTTGACATAAGTCAAAGTCTTAATAACATGACATTATAACCAGTGACATAGGACACAGAATTAAAGCAAACAATGGGATGAATGTGAATTCCACTAGAGATAGTGCAGTTAACAATACTCAAACAGAAATGACAATGAGAAGATTTGAAAGGGAGGGGGAGGAGGAACATTCCAACAAGATGGTTAGTAGCAAATCTGAAATTAAATGAATGATGATAATTGCTTTGGTCTCTTTTTGGCTTTTGGCCCCATCAATTCTAAATTGATTTTTGATTTTTAAGTGCGCTCTCTCAAGGGTACGGGACCCTTTTCCTGTCATACACCAATATGGTTAATTTGAGCACCTTGTGTGTTCGTCAAGTTTCCCTTCTGGGACTTGACTTGTGATTTGTTTCTAAGTGCGCGTTCTCAGGGCACGGGGCCCTTCATTTTTAATGAAAACCCGTTTATTCCTCAAATTATTTATTCTTCATCAATGACATTATGATGAGAGACATCGACATCATTGTTAAAACAAACAATGTTTCACCTCCATGTAAGTCAAAAAAAAACAATTTTTATAACATTTTGTATATTTTCACATGTCTTTACTTTTAGTAATTTCTTAAATACGGCTGAAGATGGACTTTTATAAGTTCGAAACATGTCCCGTTGAATAAACACTTCATATTAAAGTTGTGGTGATGACTTTGAGCTTTCCTTCTTCCTTTAAAATGATTTGCACTGTTTGCAGGATTTCTACAAGAACTTCGGCGTTTTGTGCTCCGATATTGACATGTGCCTCGTGAGAGGAGAAGACGATATCATCTTGAGGCAACGCATTGAGCATGTTTTCACTAGCGAGTTGTTTGGCTTCAAAATCACGTACCTTCAATTCTCGGTAAACAACTATCTTATACAAAGTGCAAAAAAGATCTTAATTGATGATTCGTTGAATGGAACGCCTCAAAATGCCATAGACACCTGCCTGTTTCTATATTGAAAGCCAGGGAGATCGTTGAAATGCCGCCTGAACCCTTTGGGTGATTTCTGGGGTAGTAACGGTATGTATCAAGCCACGTCGAAAATATCTTAGATCGATAGACAGAGAACAGCTACTTGAGAAATCAAATTTTTACTTGTAATACCACTAGAGGTCAAATTATTTCCGGAATTTTTTTCGAGCTCATGGATATTTTGAAAATTATTCCGAGTCGAAGACGAATAATAATGAATAAACTTAGTTTGGGTCGCCAAGTAGGCCCCAGTGTGCCTTTTTTGCCGACCCCTGCTGCACACGTCATGTGCACATAATATCTACTATTCCTTCTCCTAATTCTCCTTTTCGAACCTCCGTGGATTTCTGATGAAAGTCAGTATGTCCGTCCACCTTAGTAATTGGATCTCCCTGTTGAAGCATATCAGTATCAGAGATTTCGAATTTTAGCCTTCCATAACGCCTTACACTGGCCCAGGTAGTGGTATGACATTCTATATAATAGAAGGGCGTCTATGGATTCTTAGCCAATTAATTGTTGATTTCTACTCAATTGAAGTGGCACATAATCACTATTTTAGGACGTCAAAATATTATTCTGTCAATAAAACGTCATAAAAAATTTCCGATTTCATACGGTGGTGGGTATCCACGAGAAAAAAACTTCCACTAAAATAGATAAATTGCTATGGTAATTTGTCATGAACTGTATAAAAATTACTGGAGTGAAATTTTTAGAATTATCCTATGTCCCGTTCTCCGTAAACGTCTAAGGTACCAACGACCGTGACCCACCCATAGTCGATTCTGTAATTCATGATATCCAAATACTAAATGCATAAAGAATATCACCCTGTCAAACGTCGACATTTATCTTACCAATACAATATGCATGTCAACTCCATACATTTCCAACCACTTCACTTCATTCAAATAACTCTGTTCAGCCAGAGCTGGAGAAAGACCCTTGCATTTTTTGAATTCTTCCAAAATATCTACTTCCATCTCTTCAGTTTGGTTTGGTACAAACCGAAACTCTGATACCGCTGCTGGAGTATGCTGGGATTCTTCAAAGTCACCGAGTTCAGCTGAAATAAATTTGATTTGAGATGCTCATGATCTATAAATGCCAATAAATGGAAATGCGAAACGTTATCGTTAACATGTTTACTGAGATTCTTTCAACTTTAACTAGAGCTACAAATAAAAAGTCTGTACCACATATCTGATCCTCAGAACCCTACATTAGAGTTATCCTGTTCTCGACCTGAGAAATGTATTCTTGGATAGGTACCAATAATCATTGTGTCTGATATTGCTTCAACTTTTGCTCCAACTCTTGATTATTAAATATTGTTATAGCTTCATAGCCGATCAAACTCATTTTGGTATATCATAAGAAATAATCATTGAAACATTCAAAGAGTATACAGGGTGTCCGGAAAGGTCATGTCGTAAATGATAGGGATGATGATGTTGACAAATTATTCAATACTGTCAAAATAATTCGAAGCCAATTTCGACAATGAATGCAAATACCATGATGTTATTAAATGCATAGAGTTTTTATCAACTTTGAAACAATGGTGTTGAAAATGCGAATTTTTTTTCTAGAACGGTACAAGATATTGATTAAAATAAAGTATACTATTTTTGTAAAAAAAAGATGGAGGAATCAAACGATGGAAGAAAATCAAATTTGTCACCTGTCAAAAATGCCTGACCGAAAAAAAAAATAGTCCCATCCTGTATAAGAAATAATCAATGAAAAGCCGTTTAAATATCGAAAGGAGCATTAGTATGAGTTAATTGAGTTGCCTAAATATCATTGATACCATGGCAACAGTCCAAAATTTATGCATGATCAAACTTTCAAGGACAATAACCGTAACGAAGTGCGATAGACATTTTTTTTACATGAAGTACTAACATTATTATCGCACACTTCATCAGCCCGATCATTCACGACATGACGTATACAGGCTGACTGACAAAAAAGCCAAGCCATAGCGCCGCTATAAACTATCTGATTTTGAAAAACAGAAATCAAATGAAATGATTCATCAGATACAACAAAGTGACACTGAAATTTTTTTCCAGCGACAGCGAATGTTAACTTTTATTTTCAAATGGCAGTGTATTTGACTTTCGCGCGAAATTAGTTGAAAAAATGTATGATCCTTCGTCAAGTAATAATAACAATAATATATATATTCTCTAGAATTGGTATGCTTTGAGCTTATTTTTGAATAATTTCAGTGGTTTAATTGATTTCAAATCATTGGGTAAGTTATTATATAATTTGGGACACAATTATGGAAATGATCTTTGAAAAATTGTTTTCTCAGGTCTAGGTACTGAAACTGAGTTTAATCTGTATCTATTTTGATATTGATGACTTATCTCAATCAGATGCGATTTGTAGTTGTTTTGTTTAACTATAACAGCAAGTGAGTAGAGTTGCTTCAGATCAAAGATACTTGATTCATGAAAAACTTGTTCCGTTGGGTAAGTGTGGCACTTTTTCATTATTATTTTGATGACAAATTTTTGTACAATTTGTAGGTGTGCATATGGGCGTCTGTTGTTCCTCCCCATGCTATTATTCCATATACTAAGTGCCTCTCAACAAGTGAATAATAAAGAATTTCCACTTGTTTAGTGGTTAATATTTGTACAATTTGAATTTTGGCAACAGGCTTCTGATTTTTTTGATGTTTGTCCCATCTCAAATAACTGTCAATGTATATTATTAAATATTTGATGTTATCCACAGATTGAATATGTGTAAATTTGTTATTTATTTCTACATTGAGGATATTGGATCATTTATTTTTCTAGTTTGTTGTTTCCTTTGATAGGCATTTGTCTTCAATAAATCATTTTCTCAACAGTGTAATGTATTTTTTTTATAAGCAATGGACTCAACCCTCAATGACTCAATAGAAAATTTGATGAAAAGATCCATTTCTTGTCGACTGGGCATACAATTTTTTCAACTAATTTTGCGCAAAAGTAAACTTGTTATACATGATTTCATTCAGAAAAAAAAGCTCTATCAGAAAAAAAAATTAAATATACAATGCCTTTTGAAAAAAAAAGTTGACAAACGCTGTCGTTAGAGATGAAATTGAAAAAAATTGTTAGGGTCACCTTTGTAATATCTGATAAATCATTTCATTTGCTATTTTTGTTTTTCAAAATCGGATAGTTAATAGCGATGCTATGGGTTGGCGTTTTTTGTCAGCCAGTATAGTTCTGAAGCATTCAGGAGTTTCTGTAAGAGAAAATTGATACAGAACAGAACATACAGTTGTGTGTATAAACAAGTCGTACAGCAGTTACTGGCTATTGTGAGTCAGGCTTGTCAATCTTGATCAATCTTCTTATCGACTTTGACAAGTAGTGTCAAAATTCAAACTATTTTTGTCATTAACACGCAAATGTGTGCGTGTACTGCTTTTTAATGAAATCTGGAACATCATAGGCAGGTTTTCACCATACAAAGCTTCTACGACTTGTTTATGCACACAACTGTACAATACCCTGGCTACCTGAGCAAAATGGAATTTCAAAGAGATTCAATAGAATTTATCTTGGAAGAATATCGCTTGATTATTTTTATTTGAAATATTTTGAAAGGTTTTGGGATTGGCAAAATGTAACAATCAGCTGTTTGTAGGCAAAATTATACATGCACTGATGGTCCATTCTCTCTATTTAGTGATTTGTACAGAATGATAAGACAAGGGCGCATCTAGTAGTTTATATGTATATTGATAAATCTTTGACCGCGCCAGATTAGATATATTATCGCCAGTATCTGCAGTTATATGCATGTGCACATAAACATGATCTAACATGGCCACGCGACCTCTGTGTAGATTGGAAAAAAACTAGATGACGCCCAGCTGTTACTTAATATTTTGAGCTGGCATTTTACTGTAGGAAAACTTTACGCCAAAATGTTGTGTAATTGAGTTCTTTATTGTCGTGGACGAGATGAGAGTTATCTCCTCTTCCAGCTTTCTCTTTAGTGCCAACAACGTTACCGTTTTGGAATATACAGAGGTCCTACAATCAAGGGCGGACTATAGGCGAGGCGTACGAGGAGCGTGCCTCGAACTTCTCATGGCGTGTGGGCGCCAAACCAAGCGCAAGGTCCATAGTTCAATTTCCAAAGACGCATGCGACTTTGGCTACTGTGAGGATTTTTTAAAACAGATTATAGCTTCTAGAACACTAGGTGTATCAAATTGGCATTTGATATAGGTGAATAGTATGTGAAGAGGAAAGTTTTCCTATATTTTTCATTTCCTGGTAATTTCCAGTTTCACCATGAATGCATGGCTCCAGTTTTGAATTGTTAAAAGGAACAACCTGTATATGTAAATATCGAAAAATTCTTGAATTTCTGAGACAATGGGCCTGTTTCAGTGAAAAATTTTATTTCATTATTTCGAAGTACTAATCCTAACTAGTTCACTGTCGCAAACAGTTTTTTCCCCAGAGCTCTGTACATTTTTTAAATAATTATTGAAATACACGATATTTCGTAACATGAAAAACGCGGGAAAGCGCGTGACGTAGGCAGCCGGTGAAAAATTCATATAAGATTCGACATACATATCCATTCTCTCTCTCTTAGACAAGTGCAAACATATTTCTGATTGTCATTTATCAAAATATGTGAGATGAATATTTTGGTAATGATACTAAAATTGGAGAAGAAGATTGCGTATAACCTAACCTATGGTAGTCGTATATTTTATACCGATTTGTCAAAATAGTAGTGAGAATTCGCCTGAAAACCTGTTTTCGACCGTCCCGGCTAGTACCCAACGCAGGAAAAACTGGCAGTGCATCTGGAATTTATTTCAGGACATGACCTCTACTGCTGTGAGGATCATTTCAATGTGGGTTCCCATTGTGAAATGTGATATCCTTGTCACTTTCCGATATTCCAGCTTGAAGACAATTCAGTTAATTGCATGTTTTCCAGAATCATTGGAACAACACCAAGCTGAAACCTCATGCAGTGCCACACAAGTTCTTGAATGTACCGCCACCCACATACGACATACAAAAGAAGTGTACTGACTGATAAGGGAAACAAAAGGAAAGCAGAGTTGCTGGAAAATGTTTGGAAAAAACGAAAAATACAGCTATCAGATTATGCAGGACTAAGTGCAGAACCCTCATCATCCAAAAATGTAGCAAATACATCTATATCAGTTCTTGACATCATTGAGGTTGAGGAAGAAATAGTTATTCAGACTAATATAAAAGGGCCATTCAGAAGTAGAGGTGTAAATATGGAAAATAAAACTTTTCATGATGTACCCAACCAATGAATCATATCAAGTGGAGGGAGAAGAGTGTGATCAAACCTTATTGTATGAAACCTTCATTTTCAAGTTCATATACAATATCTGAATCTCTTTCATCTCCTACAAGGAAATATGAGCTAAACAGTTCAACTAGGAACGCACGATGTTCTTTGAACATTATAGGGATTCCCTTTCGTGCGCTCCAAGCGATAAAAAAAAAAAAAAAAAAAAAAAAAAAAAAAAAAAAAAAAAACTGATCTTGATGAGATTGCTGAGGAGATTAGAGACAGACATACAAAAGCCAGTTATAAAGAAACTGAAATTTATGCAATAGAACTTTATCAAGATTTTGGCTGATAGAGGCTTTAAACATATTGCCACACTGAGAAAGGTTGTGAGTTAGTTAGGCCACCAAGTGTATTATCACAAATGAAATCTACACCACAAGAAGTACAAAATAGCAAAATTATAGCATCTCTGAGAATTCATGTTGAAAGAGTTATTAGAAGATTACATGCAAAAATGAACTATTGGTTTTTTTATATGTCCATGGGTATAAGTGTTCTAGTGCTTATGAATAGTTGTGACAGTGATAAAGTGAAATCAAATGGTTTCCATTTTTAATGTGTATATATTTTAGGTACACCAAAGCAACCAAAGTTGGCATGGTTTTGTGAATTTTGATTTAACAAGTTCTATAAAAAAATATCTACCTATTTATAATATATCATTCTATCATTGTTCATTTTTGTTTCAATCAGATCACTGAATACCTATAATGTTCTATGTCTATGAAGATTTTTTCATGACCTATGTAGATCTCTTGTAATATACATTACCTACTGTGGAATAATACTGTATTCTTCATTAATTGAATATTACAATTTTGATATAAGTACTTACTATATTTGTTTTTCATTTATAATCAATAAAAATAAATCACAACAAACTATAATTTGTAAAAGTATAATATGGAATCTATTATTGTAGATTTTCACCTCATTTTCACCAATTATCTCTACTATGTCTTCATCTCCCAGACACTTTCTTCATTACACTAAAATGAATATAAAATGTTACATATCAATATACCTAGTTTACTAATAAAGCAAGGCTTCATGATTAAAGTGAAGAAGGTAATTAGATGTTTTCTTGGGAACATACCAGGTCTCTTGGCTCAGATGCTTTATTACTGGATTTCTGATTTAAACCTTTTCCCTGCTCTCAGTTTTTGATCCACATCAGTCTTGTGTTTTGAATGGGCTAGAGATTGATGATCCATATTATACTGCCCAAGCTGGATGATTTTCATCTTTCAGGCACTAGGTTCTCCTACAAGGTAAATAAATTATGAAAACATGATGTTTCCAAACCATGTAGGGCCATCAAAGGCAATGAGTATAGGCTTCTTTCATCAAAAGGAAAAATGATATATGTTTTCAATAGCATGAAATACTAAATTCATCAGTTCTAGAGTAGGTAGATACATATGAATAATATTAAAATCCTTTTTCTCAAGTACCTGTTATGAAAATAGTGTCTGCTACATATCCTCTGGTTTATTATGAATGTTTCTGTTGTTGATTCTTTCTCTTGATGGCTGCTATCCACATTTCCCTTATTTTTCTTGATAGATCCTTCATCTGTGAGTAATGCACAGAGTTTTTCACAGTATCACAGTAGGAAAGGGAATAAACATCAAATGGTCCCACCACGATACATGTTACTGGCATTTTCTTCTCAAAATCACAGTGAGTTTTCATTATTCATAATTAATCTAAACAAAACTTAATCTGATTCAATAAAATAATACTCTAAAAGGCTTCCAAAACCCACAAAGTCCTCAAGTAAACAAACGTGTCTTTGATTTGTTTTTGTTTACCAACCAGACGGCCTACGCTAGGTTAGGTTAGAATAATTCTTCTTCTCTATTGATATTTCGACGATTGCGCTGTTGCCAGACTCACAAAAAAGTTTGGGTTTGAATAAAATTATGATCATTATAACGAATATTAGGATATTATTACTGACACTGAATCATCATCTTGCAAGGTATATAAGTATTCATTAAGTGATTATCAGGAACCAGGTGGCCACATTGTCTTTTGCGAACGTAAATACTCTGTCATTGGTGATATTGAATCTCATGTAGGTAATTACTGGCTATAAATTTGGCAACGATGACTATTCTCCGTGCCAGCAGGTTGATGACGTCACGAAACCTGGCGTTTTTCGAAGGTTCTGATTTTCAATTAATGAAAAAACGTATTTTGGATGATTTTAAATAAGGACTGATAGCATCAACTACTATTTACACATGGACTGATCAATATAAAATAGGTAAGTGGCGTGAATTCGATTAGAGTGTACAACCCCATTCTGGGTCAGAATGTAAAATGTTTATGCCTACTTCACTTTTTTCGAGTCAGTTAATATTGCATGAAATTAAGGAATTTTCAGGCTTATGTTACTGTCATTACCTGAAAGTGAGTGTCTTGTTTTCTATAGAAGAGTTGATAAAAATAAGAGCTTTCATAACCTAAGTCTTTGAAAACCTTCTCAAGTCCTCTTGTGTACTTGGGATTGAAAGGGTTTGGAATTTTTCAAGGATTGTTTTTATCCGCTTGAATAGTCGTAGAATTCCTGAGTGATAACTTAAATTTATGTCTAGGTATCAATTTTTCTACTATTTTGATATCATACCCATTGACGACAGCCACTTTATAAACAACAGTCCTTTCAACATCGAATCTTTATTTGCTCAGAGGAAATGAAACTAGTCTATGGACTAGGAAATTTAAACTTACCAGTTTGTGTTGAAAACAGTGATTGTCATTACTTATGTATCTAAGTGTGTTAGTTTCTTTTCTAAAAATATCAAATTCTAAATTATTTTCGCCATATTTGATCACAAGAACATCTAAGAATGGTAATTCCCAGTTGTTTTCACATTCAAAAGTGAATTTGATAGAGTGGAAGCAATTATTCAATTGTGAAATGAAGTTATCTATATCTGTGATTTTCATATCAAAAATGGCAAAAATATCGTCGACATATCTAATCCAAACCCTAGGGAAATACTTTTGCATTCATTTCAAACCGATTCATGAACAGTTCAGCCAAGAAAGGTGATAAACAATTACCCATGGCTGTACCTTCATGTTGCTCAATAAATTCTTGTCTATATTGAAAAATATTTTGGCTCATGCAGAGGTTTGTGAGATTGACCAATTCTTTGATATTATCCGGATCAAGGTTGTTATATGTTATTCACGATGGTAAAGAGCTCAATTATCTCCAGTATTTCAGAACAGGAGTGGATGGGATCATTTTGTCCTCGCTGTGATAGAGACCAATTAATGGATTATTGAGGGATACCACCTAACAGTACATACGCTCCACTTACCTTCTGTCAAATCAAAGAATTTTTTACTCACATTGTAATGCTAAAGCAGCTAATTTTACAGCTGTTTCATATGGACATTCTAGTTTTCCCTCCAGAATATCCTGTTTCAGTTGCAAGAAGAACTGATACCTGGTTAATTCTTCCCTGAGATTGTTCGGTTCTGATGAATAAAATTTGACTTTGAGCCTGAGCGTGTAAGGCGGTCCAACTAGAAAAAGAATATAAGGAATATTTTTGTCAGGAGGTCATAAGGGAGATAAATCTCCGAAAATATTGTTGAAAACAATCACATGTTATTAGTCTGGTTTTTTGTATATTGTAGACAATGTAGACAGATTCATACTATTATTTCACTCATTAAGAATAGTGGAAAATGAAGGCCTCAATGTAATACCTCATATGAAGTCTTGCAGAACTATATCCAATAACGTCAATACAAGAATGAGAGAAGCTGAAAACAGCTATGAACACAAGCTGATGCGTTACCACCAATACTATGAGGCCTGCACGCTCCGCGGTGACGTCACGTTAGGAAGGTCTAACAGCGGGTGGGGACGATCAAGCGCCTTTATGCTAAAGGCGACCGTTTATTCCAATTTTAGTTTTAGATCATTTTATGAGCCGATTTTGATGTTTTTTGTAGGGTTTGTGGTTGAAAGCGGATGCCAGTTCTAAACCAAAATAAAACACAGATGCCTTCCCCCCGCATCGCATTCAAATTTAATGTATTATCAGAGATTGTAGTGATTCAATCATATTAGAGGTGCACGATGTTCTTCGAATATTATACGAATTTCCTTTCGTGCGCTCCAAGAATTAAAAGAAAACTTCACACCAACAAAACAGAAAGAAAATATATACCTATTCACTTCAGTATGGTGCCATTTTAATATTTTGGATAAATCCAAAACCATCTTATGAATTAACAACTCTTGTTCAATACATTTACATTGTTTTTAATGCTTATCTTCTGCAAGAATATATTACAAGTGAGTTTTTGTTCTATTCAACGTTTTTATTCTGACATAATCAAATTATTTCTAACCTAACATTTTTACCTGTAAAAGAAAAATTTACTCTTCAGATACTCTCCTGATGATGGCCTAGTGCCGAAAACGTTCGAGTTTCTATTAAATGATAAAATTGTATACTATAGCATGAGTCTCACTCATTAATATTGATTATTAATATACCTATTTGTCATACTAGTTAAAACAATTGAAATAATAAGTTTATAGCATGTCGTCTGTTATAAGTACTTATATTCATCTTGAAAAACAAAATAAGAGCAACATTTCGATTGCCTGCGAAATCAGCCATTGAGTGTTTTCAATTACCTATCGCTGGAGTTTTCACCCAATCGATCGTTAATCCTGCAACAGTAATTTTTCAGTAGTGTTCGTAGTGCATTTCAATATGATAGTTGATTATAATGGTTTGTGCATTCATTGCCTCGAATGAAATGACCGTTTTCAGAAAAAGGAATTTATAACGAGTTAAATATTTATGTTTATTATGACTATTCAAGAAAATTTCCTGAATATCAAATATGCACAATGAAAGCTGGCCGATAGAGTTTTAGTTTTTTGCTCAAACTTTCTATTAGAATTATAGTATAAAACTGGGAAATATGGGAATGGCTTGTAATTGTACTTGACACATTCATTGAAAACTAAAAGCGAATTCCATTGCCAGGAACTGGTGGAGTGTTTGTCCACTGAGTGTATATTTACCTCAGTTTAACACATGCGAGCAACAACGTGACAATACATTTTTTTCATCTAAAACGAACTTTTGAATTAAATTCAGTTTGGCTTCCAAAGAGGTGTTAACCACAAGTCATGCTATATTTAGACTTGTTGACTCTTTCAAATCTGACCTTGACAACTACAAAAAATGCCTGGGTGTATTTTTGGATCTTGCAGATGCTATCGACACAGTGTCATAAAAAACTGCTAGAAGTGCTTGAGTGGCGCTGTGTTGTACGTATTTGTGGCTATTTGGGATACAGAACACAATAGGTTGAAATAAATGACATCATGAGCGACTATCAAACGATCCATTTAGGTATCCCGCAGGACACCGCGACTAATCTTCATCAATTCATTACTGATCACTAGAATACAAGGTTTAATTATATCATATGCGGACGACACAGTGTTGGTACTTGAGAAGGAGTAAAAACTAAAGCAGAACTTGGTATTGGAATGGACTGGCTAGACTTTAATGAATCAACCCTCAATATAGATCAATCAAAATTACAAATTTAAAATGGTCTAATCATGTTAATGATTTATTTAGTTGTTTAAACCATAAGGCTAGTTTTGAAGTTTTATGATCTACGTAAATTTATGTACAGTATGCTATAATTGCGTGGGGTAATCTGTAGTCTGTACATAAACTCATTCGAACCTCTGAATGTTGTACAAAACTATATTTCAAAAGTAATATCTCAAAAAGAAAAACGATTTACTACAGAACAGGTTTATGACGATAATATACTCAACATTAGAATGTCATATTTCAACAACATTTGTCTTTTTCTGTATAAAAACAAGGACTTCATGACGATAATATACTTAACGTTAGAATGTTATATTTTTATAACATTTGTCTTTTTCTGTATGAAAACAGGGAATTACAAAAAAAAATTGAGCATACATACCAAACTAGGCAAATATCAAACCAGAATTTAACTATTCCTTTTGACAGAAAAGACGGTAACCAATAGATATTTACCATACAAGTATTGTAAAGACTCATATATGATATTGTAGATTTGTCAAACGAGGCCGAGAGGATGAGTTTGATAACCCATCGATTATCGTAATATGAATTTACAATACGAATATAGTACAATATATTACCTACTACCTAAAACGCTAATTATTTGATTAAAAATTTTTTAAATTTCTTGTCATGAATCTGTTGTGTTCTTGGTTGACACTTATTCTGTAAACTGTCAACTTTGACGCGTTCATTTCAACTTGAGAAAAAATTTATGGACATGAATTAATATCACGAAAGTATAGATTCAGATATAGAAATTGTGGTGTTAATTACTTCTTATATTTCTTTTTTTGAGTAAAAAACTGGAATTTGAAAATTTTTTTGTTGACTATTCCACTCTTGATCTCGAGAACCTATCAGAATCGACCATTTTCATGGTTTCTTCTGTATTCTAGCGATATTTTTTGTTTATTAAATTTTATCGGACTTGCTCTAACAATACAGAAGCCGAATTGACCCACACGTGACCAACTAACCTCGTTTATCAGCGATAAAATTTTGACATCGAGACTGGTCAAGATTGCTTTGGATTCAAATCTGAGACAATAACCCAAGTTCCTACTTTATTTTATTTACTTATAATTCGCGTTAGTGAGATATTTTGTACGAAAGGCGAGACAGATTTATTCTGGCTGGACGTTTCATGTGTAATTTGAAAAGTTTGCATATTTGTTGACGATCTGACACAACAATAATAGAATTCAAATTTATTTTTGAAGTAATCTTCTTCAAATACTCAAGTAATTGTGACTGACTGATATAATTACTAGCTGATGTGGCGCAACTGTTAGGGTTGTTGCGCGAGGATACGAAAGTCGATGGTTCGAGCCCACGGCGACGATATATTTTTTTTTAATTATTCCACATGAATTCAATTTATTTTGTTTGAATTGGATAGTAATTGTATACACTCTTTTGAGAGCAACCATCTCCAAGATAATAAAAAAAATACTGTTTATCAAAATTGTACATTCCACTTTGTGAATAACTATAAGTAGGTAGTTGATTTCTAAAAAAGTAAATTCTGTATTTCATTACTATCATTATGTTCTTCTTCGCAGTTCGAGTTGGAATATACTTAAATTATGTTTCCTATTTCTTATATATTATATTGTCTCATTCAATCATGAAATAGTCATACGAATACAACTCGTGATACTATTTTTCCTCGAAATATTCGTCGATTGACATACTCTAGCTTGCTGCTCTAATTTCACTCATGACATTGATCCAAAACTTCACGAAATTACTAGGCAACAAGCTGTCGTAAAAATCACCGAATATTTCCGGCAAAATATTATCACTTGTGGTATTATATATGAGTAAAAAACTGGAATTATTTGAAATAATTTTTTTATACTTTACCGCACAAGTGCACTTTAGCACTTTACCGCACTAGTGCAGTATTGCGATATGAGATGGGAAAGTTGTCAAACGACGCCGAAGGCCGAGTTTGATAACTCATGGATTATCGTAATATGACTTTAGGATAGGAATATAGTACAATATTACTGAATTATGATATTTAGTTCACCCTGGTTCAATTCTAATGATAATAATGATTAAAATGTAAGAAAACATATTTTAAAAAAGAAATAAATATCTTAGAAATAGCTGAATGTTCATGCAGATAAGTATTATATAATTTTCCTGTCATAGCTTGTATAAGTAATGTATGCATTGAAAATGCACCCTGTATATCAGAATTTGTTCTGACATTTGATGATTTTGTCACCAACAACACTTTCTTACTTTTGATTTGTTTCTTTATAGATTTTGTTGGGTCCAACCAATGTTTCACGTGGTTAGCATCTGTGAATTGTAATCCAAAATAGTCTTTTTCGATGAGATCCAGTGAATAGAATACTTGTTCATACAGATCACGGGCTTTTGCCTTTTTCTGAAAAGAAAAATATGAAGTTAGTTACAAAAATTAATCTTCAAGTAAAGGGAATGATTGATTGAGTGAATGCTTTAATTATGTGTGTAAATTTAACATGTGGCTAGTTCAAACTTGGAGATCAACTACCCAAAAGTCGTCTGAAGAAGAGCGGAACCTATAAGTAATAGTGGATTTCAAACCATTTAAACATGTTCAGCCGATAGCCGGGTTCGAACAGAATGCACAACATTATACTATCTATGGTACTTGATAATGTGTATCGGGTGGTCACAAAAAACCGAAAGTTTTTATTTTCCTCGTGGTTTCATCATTTCTCAACCGAATTCGAATTTCTAGGCGTCGTTTCATAGCTAAAGGGCTGTACTATACAGTGGAATATTTGAAAATTACATAATGAACAAAAACAAATTGGTGGATTCTACCAAAGTATTGTCATTTACAAAAACCGCTGGAGAAAAAGAAAATCAGATTTTTTCCAACCTGTATCGATGTCATATTAGGCATATAATTGCAAAGAAATGAGTGTATCTACTGGACTATTTGTTCGATTTCGATGTTCGAGTACCCATTCTCTTCAGAAATGGATAACCTAAGATGACATCCATACAGGTTGGAAAAAATCTGATTTTCTTTTTCTCCAGCGGTTTTTGTAAATGACAATACTTTGGTAGAATCCACCATTTTGTTTTTGTTCATTATGGAATTTTCAAATATTCCACTGTATACTATAGCCCTTTAGCTATGAAACGACGCGAAGAAATTCGAATTCGGTTGAGAAATCATGAAACCACGAGGAAATTAAAAACTTCCGGTTTTTTTGTGACCACCCGATATATCTCACAATATTTTGTCAGGCAAGAATTACCCCCACAGGCCCCCTTTTTTGGAATTTCGAAAAAAAAATTATAACTTTTTTATAAATACACGTGGATGGGAGTTTTTTATATGAATGTGTTCCTCTGATGGGACTTGATAATTGGTATATCTCATAATATTTTGCCGGGCAAGAATTATCAAGTACCATTAGAGAAACACATTCATAAAATAAAACTCCCATCCATGTGTATTTTAAAAAAGTTATGATTTTTTTTTAATAATAATAATAATAATTAAAGAGCATTATTGGATACCCAAAAGGCTATCGACCGAGGTCCTTCAGCCAGTGTTACACAGTGATTATACATTGAGTTTAAATTCATCATTATTGTATGTACAAGGTGTACATACATTTAATGTTTACATTTACATTTACATTTTTTTTACATTTGAATTCAATGTTTACATTTTACATTTGAAAATAGTGCATATTAATTCTGAAAATCCTCCTACTTAACAATATAAACCATAAGAAACATTGTTCATTAAGAACAATGACCCCGGACAAAAACAGTGCCCGATAAATCCTTGAAGGATTTGTGTGAGCACATTCCAATAATAAATTTTCATGTTTTAGGTACCATGTACAATTTATATTATTATTTTATTATTCCTAGCAATTTTTGAAGAATTCCGAAGGATTTGAAATGTTCTACAACATCACAAGTCTACAATTTCATCTGGGTATGATAATAATAGTATACAACTATACTAGTAGTTGAAGATGCTGGCAAAGGAATGTATACCTCTGGCAGATCCATTCTGATAAATCCTTGGCTATACTTTTGAATTGTCCATTCTTAAAATTTTGTGGTAGTATATTTATGATTTTGGGTGCTGTATATGAGATGTGTTTTTGTGTTGCTGAAAATTTGGCATTTGAGGGAATAACATTTTCATTAGTTATTGCACGTGTAATCGTTGAATGAGCTATAAAGTGATTAAATAAGTTTCTGAATTTTGAAGCAAAACGCAGTGTGCTCTTAATATACATTTGTCTAACATTTAGTAGTTTCGACTCACGGAAAAGTCTATCAGTTGGGAATGTCCTGTTTTTTAAGAACAAAACTTTCGAGATATACTTTTGTGCTATGTCAACTGGGCTAAGAGTTATTTTGTACGCTGAACCCCAATGTAATATACCATAGTCTATTATAGATTCAGCCAATGCAGAGTAGACATTTTTCCTCAGAGAGGTAGATAAAATGTTTCTTAATTGGTAAAATTTATAAATCAGTTTCCGAAGTTTTTTTGATACATATTCACAATGTTTACTCCATTTCATATGTAGATCAAAATGTACACCCAAATACTTCACACAGTCCCTAGATTCAATGACAGTAGCACATCTGCAGTTTGGTGTTTCCTGACAGTCAGAGTTGTGAATTTTTAAATTAGTAGTTTGTGGTAATCCACTTTTGGACATTGCGAAGCTGATGAAGTTTGACTTGTTTGCATTTAGTGTTAATAAATTTAGGTCCAGCCAGATTTTGATTTTTTTAAGAACACGCTCTGCCTTATCGAAAACTCTGTTCCAGCTTACATCATTTAAGAGAACCACTGTATCATCCGCATAGCAGACCAATTTTACATCGTCATCAATGGAAATAAGACTATTAATGTAGATTAAAAATAAAATGGGCCCGAGAACAGTACCTTGTGGGACACCATACTCCACTACTCTTGGTTCACTGTAGGTAGAACCTATCCTTACTTTTTGAACTCTTCCCTGTAAGAATGATTTAAGCAGGTCAAGTGTGACGCCTCTGATTCCTATAACTTCAAGTTTTTCTTGTAGCGTATGGTGTTCCACAGTGTCAAACGCTTTTTTCAAATCCAGAAAAATACCAATTGGTTTAAGACCTTTGTTAAAACTTTGTATAATAAAATTCGACACTTCAAAAAGTGCGTTTTCAGTACTGCAGTTTTCTTTGAATCCATATTGCATATTATATATCACTTTATTTGTTATTAGGAAATTCCATAACCTGGCCTTGATACATTTTTCCACAATTTTACTTACGACGCTAGTTAGGGCTATTGGTCTATAGTTGCTAGGATCCCTCTTATCTCCATCTTTATAAATTGGTACAACTGTAGTAACTTTTAGCTTACTCGGGAAAATACCACTGCTGAAAATAATATTGATAATATGCTTCAGAGGTTTGAGTAGCCCTTTGTAGTACTGTTTTATTAATGTTGAAGAGATGTTGTCTTCACCTCCAACAGTTCCATTTTTTAGGGAGTTTATGGCTTTAAGGATTTCTGATTCAGAAATTGGTGAAAGAAATAAAGAATTTACCCTTGGTTCATCGTTAACTTTAATATTTTGCGAATTCAATGGCTTAACAATTTTCCGTGCTAGGTTATTACCAATAGTAGTGAAGAATTCATTGAATTCATTTGCTATATCTTCGAGTTTGCATATTTCTAAACCTTGCTTATTTGTCACAGATTTAATTTGCGGTTTGTCGAGTGATTCATTTGAAGCCTCTTTTATGATCTCCCATAGCTTTTTCTGGTTATTTTTGAGTCCATCAATTCTACTTTTATAGTACATATTTTTCGTTTTATTAATCATTTTATTCAAAGTGTTTCTATATCTCTTATAGCTATTGATTGCTTCTTGATTATTTTGGTTCATGGTAGATATCTTCTTTAATGCATCCCTTTGCCTCATTGAACATAAAAGTCCCTGTGTCAGCCATGGTTTGATGCGTTGCTTTTTATTTGAGATTTCAATTTTTGTAGTTGAGGATTCGATATGGTTTCTCAAAATTTCCATAAAAATACTTGTTGCACGGTTGGTATCATTGCATGTTATAACAGACTCCCACTCCTCTCCATCCAGTAAAGTTTCCAATTTATGATTTTCTATCTTCATAACATATTTGTCCTTGTTCAAAACGTCTGGGTTTTGTTTCAATTGGATATTTAATAATATTGGATAGTGATCAGTGAGAGAACTGTTTAATATCACTGCATTGCTTGCTACATTAGCATTATTACTGTTAACAAAGTAGTGGTCAATATATGTTTTTGAGTTTTTGTCCACTCTTGTAGGTTTATTAATTTTACATTTATAACCATACATGCTGAGAACATTCAGATATTCATTGGCTTGAGGTTGTTCAGTATCTAAAATATTAATATTTATGTCACCAGCAAATATCTCATATTTACATTTGTTCAAGAGGTTGGCACTTAAAAGGCTATCCAGATCTCCTACATAATCTCGGGGATTGAGAGAAGGCAGCCTGTAATGTGCAATGATCCCAAATGTCTCATTGTTTTTACACCCAGTTACCCTTAAGAAACGAGTATTGTTAATATTAATTATGCTCCCATTCAATGACAGGTCTGATTTCCCATATATTAAAGTTCCATCACATTTATTGAGAGAACTTTCGTTGTAGAACATTTCATATCCGTTAATTCCAAAGTTTTTTATATCCTGAATCAAATGTGTCTCAGACATAATTATAATGTCAAAAACTGTACACAAGTCCTCAAGGAATACTATAAAATTATCAAAATTTTTCATTAAGCTTCTAATATTTACATGAATTAAGTTTAAACTACTTTCAGACTTATTGAAAAAAGAGGTTTCACAGAGCCTATCACAGATTGTTGTGTCCTCACATAAGTAGTCATCTAGGATACTATTTGGGTCCATAATAATCTATGTTCAATCCAGTTAATTGACCTTAGCAACCCACATGGATTTACATTAGCCTTGGTTTTGTTGCTTACTTTCCAGTATCTCTTCCACTTCATCCAAATTTCTGATTCGGATGGCACGCTCACCTTCTTTAAGCCTGGCATAGTTGTAACCATTACGCTGCCAGACAAATCGATAACCAATCTCCTTGAGTCTCATGGAACTTTTATATAGGTTGTATGTCATGTGAGTCATTTCTTCATTGAGAAAGATGCTTTGATTACCATTATTGATTTTACAGTTGTCCCCATTAAGTTTACCTTTCAGACTCCTTTGTTTCATGATAGCAGCTTTACGTTCATTGGTATCAATAGTTACAGTCACCAGACATTTGTTGGTTTTAGTATTATTGATCACTTTGATGCCTTTAATATGTTCACGAGAGAAAGATGCATCCACA